TCCTGCTGTATGGCACTGAAGTGCACACAGACACCAACAAGATTGAGGAATTTCTGGAGGCGGTGCTGTGCCCTCCCAGGTATAGGGGAACTTGGAAAGGGGAGTAGGGGAGCTGGGAGACTCTGGGAGAGAGAGGTTGAAGAAATGAAAAACAGAGATGGTGGTGGGGCTGCAGCAGGGGAGCTGAGGTTCCTCCTCGCAAGATATCTTATCCTGTTTGTCCCATTGGCTTCCAGGTACCCCAAGCTGGCAGCTCTGAACCCTGAATCCAACACAGCTGGGCTGGACATATTTGCCAAATTCTCTGCCTACATCAAGAATTCAAACCCAGCTCTCAATGATAGTGAGTCTTGTGGGTTGGAGGCCTGGGTTCTAGGAGGAATAGAAAAGATCCAGTGATTAGGGGCACCTGGACATTCAGATACCCTGAATGTTGGCAAATCTTACTTCAATTAAAAAAAGAGAGAGAGACAGTGAGAGAGAGAGAGAGAGAGAGACTCTAGATCCAGATGACCTGAGTACAAATTCTAGTAGCTGTGTGACTTTGGGGAATTCATTGAACTTCTCTGTAAATCCATTTCCAGATCTATAAAATGAGGATAACAGTACCTACTTCATGGGTCGATGTGAGAATTAAATGAGTTTTTGTGTGTAAATTGCTTAGAATAGCACAGAGAAAATGAACTACATTAGTGTTAGCTATTATTATTTTGGACTGGCCTCACCATTAGTGTTCACCCCCTCATGGGCCTTCTTGGACTATGGCAGTCTTCTGATGTTCTTACCAACTCCCTTCTCTTGCACAGACCTGGAGAAGGGACTCCTGAAAGCCCTGAAAGTTTTAGACAATTACTTGACATCACCTCTCCCAGATGAAGTGGATGAGACCAGCGCTGAGGATGAGGGCATCTCTCAGAGGAAGTTTCTGGATGGCAATGAGCTCACTCTGGCTGACTGTAACCTGTTGCCAAAGCTCCACATAGTACAGGTGAGTGGTCACTGTGGGAGGAGAGGGTGGTCGCTGGGATGGCTCTTTAAGGGTCTCCCACACAGGCTTCCCATGACAATCACTCCAAAGGTGCTTTCTTTCTTAGGGTGGTTTTCAATAGCAGACACCACCCCATTCCTTCTCTGCTGTCTTTGCTGGCAAGACCACTACTTGAGAGAATTACATTCCACGATGCAAGGTGTGGGTGCAAACAGACTGGCCTAGGGTAACACATCCCAGTGTTACTTTCAAGAATGCTCTTCCTGTCTCTGTCATTGCCAAATCCCCAGATAAGAGAGCAGGCTTTTCCTAAAATCAAAGTTTTAAGCCTACAGCTTCAGTCTCCACTTCCTCTTGTGGAAGATGAAAACTGCTGGTTCCCATGTTTATGTCATAGTTCAAAGCTACGGTTTAGTTTCTGAAATGTGGGCCCAGTGTCAGTCTGCTGCAGAACTGTGTACTGAAAATCTCTGTACTAGGCACGGAAAGACAAGATATGTGGTGATTGGTCCTTGCCCTCCAAGGATCTAAAATCTAGCTGAGAAGATAAAACATTCACATGATTAATAATACATGATTAAAAGCCAAATGAAAAGTGGAAAAAAGTTGCTGTGGAAATTCAAGAGGAGAATTTTATGGTTTGTGAATTATATTTCAAAATCAAGAGGGGAAAACTAGCACCATGGACTGGGGTGGCCTGAAAAGGGGCTGGTTATAAATGGCCAGGATTTCAGTAAGCGGAGAGGAAGGGTGAAGGCCTTACAAGACAGTGAGGAGTTAAGAAAAATGATTGAAGATGCTTTATATGGGAGATAAGAATCATTGGAAGAGAAACCAGATAGTGGACCTACTTGAATGCCTGGATTTTATCATGAAGCCTTGGGATAAGGGAAAGACCAAGAGCATGGCAGCCAATGTCACTTCCCTGAAGCTAAACCTACTGGTTCTCCTCTCCCCACCCCTAGGTGGTATGTAAGAAGTACCGAGGATTCTCCATCCCGGATGTGTTTCGGGGAGTGCATAGGTACCTGCGCAATGCCTATGCTCGGGAAGAGTTTGCCTCCACCTGTCCAGATGATGAGGAGATCGAGCTGGCCTATGAACAAGTGGCCAAAGCCCTCAAATAAGCCCCTCCTGGAGCTCCCTTGCCCACCTCCATTTTCTCCACAAAGGCCCTGGGTGGTTTCCACATGGTTACCCAATGGACACACTCCAAAATGGCCAGTGGGCATAGAATCCTGGAGCACCTGTGCAGGGCTTGCTGGGGGGATGAGGAGAAAGGATGGGGGATCTGGGTGAGATTTTTACTGTGGGGTGGGTAGGACAACGTATTTCAGTAATAAAGTACAGAATGAAAATCCAGTGCTTTGGGACTTCCCTGGTGGTACAGTGGTTAAGAATCCACCTGGCAATGCAGGGAACATGGGTTCGAGCCTTGGTCCGGGAAAATCCCACATGCTGCGGAGCAGCTAAGCCTGTGCGCCACAACTACTGAGCCTGTGCTCCAGAGCCTGTGAGACCGGTGCAAAAACTACTGAAGCCCGCGCGCCTAGAGCCCGTGCTCCCGCAGCAAGAGAAGCCACCGCAATGAGAAGCCCGCGCACCTCAACGAAGAATAGCAGCCCCCGCTCCGCAACTAGAGAAAGCCCGCGCATAGCAATGAAGACCCAACGCAGCCAAACATAAATAAATAATTTTAAAGGAAAAAAGAAAATCTAATGTTTTTACACAAAGGGGGCTTGAAGTGTGAGCAACACGGAATGAAGAGTGGGTCAATGACCTCGAACTCCTGGCAAAAACCAGGAATTTAGAAGAGGGGTGCTTGTGACAGGGCTGCCATTTTTAGTGCGGGTCCACCATAGCGCTGTTTTGTGCTACATGTCGCACTCGCAGCCCAGCCGCCGGAGCCGACCAGATCTGGGTGGGTCTGGGCAGAGCTCGTGGGGCGGGGCCGAATTCCGAGAAGGGGGGGCGCAATCGGGGTGGACTGGGCGCGGCATAGCAGGGCGGAATGGGCGTGACATCGAGGAGCCCCGCCCTGTCCCGCTTAGACAATGCCCCGGAGCCGCCAGACCGTCGCGTCCCCGACCCACTGTAGTACTTGAGCGCGCCTACCCGGGGACCCCTCAAAGCCAAAGCTCCAATCCCCTAGGCTTGAAGACTACGACTCTCTTCTTCACCAACTCTGTCCTCAGGGGGTGGGGCCCCAGCCAAGAGCACAGAGCTGCAAGAGGGGGTGGCCGCAGGAGGTGAGTCTGGTGGGAGGTGCTCCTCGGACCGTGGGGGGGGGAGTTTGGGGGTGCTGGGCCCGTGCCTGCGCCGGACAGTGCAGAGGGTCAACATTTGGGTGCGGAGCTGAGTCCGGGTGGACTTTGGGGAAGATGGATCGGGAGACTGGGGCACCCGGTCCTGGCGCCCGGAGCGGTGCCTGCTCCCCAGAACCACGCCCCCCCCGTTTCCCCGCCCCTCGGATTTCGTTTTAGACCTCTCCCAGTCCTCCGGGACTCAGTCTGGTTTACACTGGGTCGCGCTAGGAACGGAGTGACCGGCCAGGGTAGAGAGGATGTTTAACTCCTTAGGCTCTAATTCCTCCCTCCTTGTCCCTCTCTTCCGTTCTCGTTCGGACACCCAGGACTTTCATCCCCCAGCTCCTGACTCTCTCCCCAGCTGTCTCCTCCTGTCCCATAACCCTTGTGGGCTCTTCGCCGCACTTCGGGTCCCTAAGGCAGCGAGCAGCAGAGGGTTAAGGGGGCGGGGCCGCTGCATTTTTTGGGAGTGAGCGCATCCTAGCGGCTGCCAAGAGGGGCGCCCGGCAGGGACCTCTCGAAGACCCCGAGCAGGGGCAACAGGTGTTTTGGAGACTAGCGATCCCGATCTCGTTCCTCGGACTTCCCCTAAAGCAGCAGACCCGCGAGGATGCGGGGTGGAGTGGGGTCGGCAAGAGAGGAAGGTCTGGAGGGGGTGGGGCGGAGAGGGAGGGGCGCCCGGAGATGGCAGAAGGAAGACCCCGGGGCTTTTAACCATCCCCCTATGCCCTTCTTTCCATGTCTCTCTCTCTCTGCCTACTCCCGTTCTGTTTCTTCTCCCAGACAGGTGAAGTTAAAAAGAGACAACTGAGAAATCAGCGCAGCCGGAGAGGGCGTCTGTGTGGATGGGATGGGGACGCCAGGGGAGGGGCTGGGCCGCTGTTCCCATGCCCTGATCCGGGGGGTCCCGGAGAGCCTGGCGTCGGGGGAGGGTGCGGGGGCTGGCCTTCCGGCTCTGGACCTAGCCAAAGCTCAGAGGGAGCATGGGGTGCTGGGGGGTAAACTGAGGCAGCGATTGGGGCTGCAGCTATTAGAACTGCCTCCTGAAGAGTCGCTGCCGCTGGGACCGCTGCTTGGTGACACCGCTGTGATCCAAGGGGATACGGCCCTAATCACGCGGCCCTGGAGCCCCGCCCGCAGGCCGGAGGTGAGCGCCTGGGCACGGGTGGGGTAGGGGGACGGGAGGATCTGGACGTCTGGGGCTTAAGGGAAGAATGGGGGTGGGAATGTCTCCGCTTCGCGCCCACTTTTCCTGCCCTAAGGTCGATGGCATCCGCAAAGCCCTCCAGGACCTGGGGCTCCGAATTGTGGAGATGGGGGACGAGAACGCGACGCTGGATGGTACTGATGTTCTCTTCACCGGTGAGGCTGGGGTGCCTGCACCCTGGGGCTTGGCACAGGGAAGCAGACTTTGGGAGACTGGGCCATCTCGGGCCTTGTTTCCAACCCACTCCCGCCTCATACCTCGACGGCCTCCCTGGGCTCAGGCCGGGAGTTTTTCGTAGGCCTCTCCAGGTGGACTAATCACCGAGGAGCTGAGATCGTGGCGGACACGTTCCGGGTGAGGAGCGGGACCAGCCTTGGGTGCGGGGAGCAGGGAGCGGATGGGGGTCTGAGGGACCTGGGCGGGGGCGTGGGGCGGGCCGCGCTGAGGAGGAAGAGGCTGAGAGCAGCCTGTGTTTGAGGGTATCCTCTCACCCTTCCCGCGTCCCTGAATACTTTCCCTTGTTCCCCTTAGGACTTTGCCGTCTCCACAGTGCCGGTCTCGAGCCCCTCCCACCTGCGTGGCCTCTGCGGCATGGGGGGACCCCGCACTGTGGTGGCAGGTAGCAGCGAGGCTGCCCAAAAAGCTGTCAGGGTGAGAAGGGGTTGCGGCTGGGGTGGGGCAGGTTGAGGCGCGGCCAACAAAAGTGGGCGCGGCTCCGGGCCTGGGAGGCGGGGAGTTGGGAGGCTCTGAGAATTAACTCCAACCCCTACCCTCATGGAGCTGTCCATCTATGTGAAAACACGTGTGAAAACAAGAAGTTACTATAAACGGGACAGACAGCTGGAACACGGAGGAACAGGGGCAATTAACACCGTTTTCCCGAGTTTCAAGAAACTCCCTAAAGGGCACCCAAGCTGTGTCTCGAAGGATGGACAGGACCGACCCGTGGGGTCTGAAGTAGGGGAGAAGTGGGTAGCAGGTGGAAAGAACTGCGTGTGAGTCCGAGGTGGAAATTAGACAAGTTAATTAAAGCCCTTAGTGCCTGACACATAGTAAGTGCTATGTGATTGCTGTCATTATTATTCCACAATAATGTAACTCTGTCCCCAGCCCTTAGCGGTGGTAGGGCAGCTGGACTCAGTTGTGGAGAGGCTCTGAGCCTTGCATGCTTCCTCTCTCCTCTCCCCCAGGCAATGGCAGTGTTGACGGATCACCCCTATGCCTCCCTGACCCTCCCAGATGATGCAGCGGCTGACTGTCTCTTTCTGCGTCCTGGGCTGCCTGGTATGCCCCCTTTCCTCCTGCACCGTGGAGGCGGGGACCTGCCCAACAGCCAGGAGGTGAGAGAAGGCAGGAGCTCCACCACCACCACCAACCAGAGAAATGGGGCTCAGGCCTCCCTAGTGGGAGGAAGAAGGGGTACCTTTTCTAGAAGCCAGGGTGGGGCCACTCTAGCTGGCTGAAATGGGGCCCTGGCTGTGGGCCTTGGGGTCTTACTCCCCTCTCCCCACACACTGTCCTCCCTGCAGGCACTGCAGAAGCTCTCTGACGTCACCCTGGTACCTGTGTCCTGCTCGGAACTGGAGAAGGCAGGCGCTGGGCTCAGCTCCCTCTGCCTGGTGCTCAGCACACGCCCCCACAGCTGAGAGCCTGGCCTTGGGGTCCTGGCTGACCAGGGGCAGGGTGGCATAGGAGTAGAAGGGGAAGGAAGGTTAGATAGAGGACAGTGAATACGTAGTAGTGGGGAGATGGCCCCAAGGTAGGGGGAGGGCATAGAGTGAGAAAAAGGATGGAGGTCACTGGGTGAGTCCTCTCCCCAAGAACTAATAAAACAGAACTGACCTTTTAGACTGGGCTGCGACTGGGCTGCGAATGGTGTCTTACTGGGGCAGGGGGTCAACGGCAGGGCTGAAACCTGAGGTTGGGGTCAGTGCTGGGAAGGAGGCCTCCTTCATTCATCAAACCCTCATTCAGTGCTCACTGACTCATTGTCCAGCCCTGTCATAGCTGCTTGGGCACAGGACGGACAGGACAGAATTTCTATGATGGGGAGCATGTACAGGGCAGAGAAAAAATATGGGTGAATCACTCACTGAATTTATCTAAATGTCAGATGATTCAGAGACTGGGAGATCAACAGCCCATCCCTAAGTTGATAGGAGGAAATGACATTTCCAGGGATATTCATTTTCACTCATTTACTGAGGCTTAGCGGTGATATAAAAAGGGTCAGTCTCCTGATATCAGGGGACTCACAGTACATGAAAATTTCTTATAAATTGAAATGCAGGTTGTAATGGAACAATTCACAGGAGGCTGTCGCTATGAGAGAAATAAGGGGGCTCCCTAGGGCATCAGAGTGTATGCAGGGGTGGGCAAAGTGGGTCAGAAATAGCTTCCCAGAAAAGGCTACACTTGAACTGAGTCCTGAGGATAAATAAGAATTAGCCAGGCAGATAGTGGGGAGGAGGCAAAGGCTAATCCAGGAAGAAGGAATTGCACTGGGCAAAGGCACATTTGGGGGCTGGGGAGAATTTCTCTAAGGCTGTCCTGTTCTAGGCACTGAGTGACAGAGATAAGCCTGGAGAGTAAGTAGAGTACTGTAGCACCTTGAACCCAAAGCTGAGGCCCATGGGCCCAGAGCTGAAATACTGCTGAAATATAGGCTGTCAGGAGCAGGTTAGCATTTGGGGAGAATATCTCTAGTTTCAGGGAGGAGAACAAGGGCAGGAGGATGAGGTGGGGCTATGGGTAATCCAGGGAGGAAATAAACATTCAGGTGGCAGTGCTGGGTGTGAAAAGGGTGTGGATTTGACAGTGACATTAAAATAGAAAGACAGGACTTGGTTTATCGTGTGGGAATGAGAGGAAGGAGGTCTGCATGACTCTCCATTTCTGGCTTGGGCAGTGGGGTTGATCAAAAGAGAATGCAGAGGAAGGATTAAGTAAGTGGCTTGGGAGATGACAGTGAGTTGGGTTTTGGACCTGCTGTGTGCAGAATGCCTAGGGCCAGCCAGGCAGGGATGTCTGAGGGACAGTTTGGAAATCTCATATCAGAGATGTGAACTGGAGAGAGTTATGGATGTTGCTTGCACAGAAAAAGGCTGAGGACTGGCTGTGGATGACAGCATCCCAGGAGAGGGGGAAGGCAGATAAAGAAAAAGACAAACCTAAGAATGGTGGAGAATACTGCAGGGGTAGGGAGCAAGGAGGAGTCCAGAAGGAAGACAACAGCATTAAAGAAAAACAGCTTAAATAAGAGCGATCAAAGGCCAAGCCAGATGAATGCTAATAAATGTCTAGTGGGTGGGGTTATTAGGACATCACTGGCAATCTCATGGAGAGCACGTGAGCAGTGGGAGTGGAGTGAAGAGAAAAATGGAAGACAGGTGTAGGCCCTTGGTTCAAAGAGCTTGACTGTGGAGAGAAGGGAAGAGATAGGGCAAAAATCTAGGAGTTGTTGATGTCTTAAAATAGGGAGACAGGGCTTGATCAGGTTTAAGGACATCAGTGGTGAAGGAGACCGGAAGGCTGTGTGAGAGATGGGGGTAAGGAAGGACCAAAATCAGCAGCAGAGATAGCCTGGATCCTCCGTCTCCTGACTCCCAGTCTAGTGCTCATTTCTATCCCATGGTGCCTTCCTTTTCCAGGTGACGGGTCAAGAAGGCGAGGGGTGTTATGGAGAGCTGGGAGCCCCCAGCCTGTGAGGTAGTAAGGGCTTCCTTTCGAACTACAACCGCATAGGTGGTGGAGGCGTCAGCAGGGACCACTGGGGACAGTCGGCAGGATCTTCTGAGGGCCGTATGATCCAGGTCTGCGTAGAGCAGGCTCTGAAAGGTGGGGAGGAAGGTAGGAGGGTCTCGGAAGTCTGACTCCCTGGGGATCCAAGCCTCTGTCTTTCTTGGTCCACTTAGTCACGGATTCTGGCCAGCCCCCATCCCACCCCCAAACCTTTACCGGCTCCTGGTCCAGGTCCCCTGCAATCTTGGGCTCTTCCTCCTCTACTGGCCTCTGGGGCTCCGCTTTCACGAGTGGAACTATGTGGGGGGGGACAGAGCTGAAGGATTGAGAGAAGGTGACCAACTTGTCTGCTCCCAGCAAGGGCTCAGACTCGGGAATTGGGTGGGGAATGTGCGGGGAAGGCAAATGGGGTGGAGTTAGTCTCACCAAATCTGGGGGGTGGTCGAGGCGGGTGAGGGGGCGAGCGCCTGTAAGGTATGGATAAGAGTCTCTAAGAACCACTTATCTTATCTCGCTTGTTCTGGGCCCCAGGACGCGCCAACAACAACCCAGTAACAGGCCGGCTCTGACCAGCAAAACAACCTAGGTTCCCACCCGCACAGATAGTTCCCCCCACGCTTGGAGCCAGCTCGACCTCTAGCTTGGCTTCCTTAGCTAGGGCTCCACCCACCAGCCCATGGCCTCGCCCCCAAGTTCCGACCTTCCCCATTCGTCTCCGAACCACACCCGAGGGCTCCCGATGTAGTTTTGGCCCGCGAAAGTTCTGGGCCTGCCCCTCCTGCCTCTGGTCGCGAGCCTTTCAACCAGGCCCCGCCCCTAGAGCTCACCTGCGCAGCCAACAGGCCCAGCCCAGTACTCCGAGTCCCAGCACCAGCCCAGCGCCCAGCAGCGGGATTAGTGTCTGGGGATACACGGACCCTGCGGGAACGTTGGAAGCGGGGTAGCGGTGGATGCCGAGGTCAGGGTGCGGGGACCGAGAGCTAGCTCTCCCACTCAGGAACCCCCAGACCAGGCTTCCCTCTCTGACGGGTGCGTGTGTCTGAGTTAGGTCCCCTTTGTGTGAAGGCCTGGACCTACCGTGGGTAGGCCCCGGAGCTCTGCAATAGGCCCGGTCCCCCAGCACATGAAGCTCCGTACGGCTCTCGTTCTCTTGGCGGCCCTTGCAGATAAAGGTGCCCGAGTCCCCCGCGCTCAGGAGCAGCTCCAGCCGCCGGATATCAAGGTCCAGGGTACGTAGGCGGCCAGCAAAGGGCTGGACGGGAGACACGGTGGGGGTCCCGTTCGGTGAGGCCAACAAGATCGCGCGGCGTCCTTTGGACAAGCCTTTGCAGGCCGGGAATCTAGGTGCCCAGACCCAGCGGGTGGGTTGCGAGACCCCTACGCAGGAGAGATTCACCCGGTCCCCGGGATGGCCGTCCAGTGAAGCTAGGGGAGGCGGTGGGGGGGGAGGGTTGCGGGGGACGGTGGTCAAGGCAAGTCCACAGAGCAAGACGCCCCTTCCCCTTACGCCTTTTTCCCCTCCTCTACCCTCCCGCCAGCCTGGATCTTCCCATACACATCTCATCCCCCCGCTACCCCCACCGGGTCGCCTCCTCCTCCTGCCTCAGTCTTTCCTCGCCCATTCCGACTTTCCTGGGATGGCTTACCCCCGGGGTTCCCCTGGGCCCTCGACAGCAGCAGCGGCAGCAGCTGCAGAACCAAGGCCATGGCTGCGATGTGGTGGGAAGAGGAGGCCAGTGAATCAGCGAAGGAGACCGGAGGGAAATCAGAGGGGGGTGGAGGGGGAGACCGCAGGTCTGGGGGCTCCGATAAGGGGTGGGGGAGGGGCCACCAGCTGCCCACATCCCTCTGGGAATCCTTGCAGGCAGGTTCACATCCCTCAACCAATGCTCACTTAGAATTCATGCTGGGGCCCTTTACACAAGCACTTTCGCAGACTTTTTTTTTTTTTTTTTGCTGAGGACACAGTGTAAAGACAATACTAAGATCTGGGAAATTTAGGAGAAGCTCTGCTAGTTGGAAGGGAGGTTCGCAAACCCCAGTCTGCATCCTTTACTAAAATCCCGGGATCCTCCCGTGGGCAGACTCACACCACTGCTGCGCTGCACGGCCTCAGCCGTTGTGAAAACATCTGCTCTCGTGATTAGAACTGGGTCTGTGGTTTCTGAGTCCTCCAGGGCCAGAGGCCACTGCAGGAGGCACTGTTACCCCTCGGCACCCCAATCTGTTGCGGAGCACAGGCTCCAGATGCGCAGGCTCAGCAGTTGTGGCTCACGGGCCTAGTTGCTCTCCGGCATGTGGGACCTTCCCAGACCAGGGCTCGAACCCGTGTCCCCTGCATTAGCAGGCAGATTCTCAACCACTGTGCCACCAGGGAAGTCCTACGATACTATTATACCTGAGAAGTCCCCAACGGTTGGTTTGGGTTTTTTTTTTGCGGTATGCGGGCCTCTCACTTTTGTGGCCTCTCCCGTTGCGGAGCACAGGCTCCGGACGCACAGGCTCAGCGGCCATGGCTCACGGGCCCAGCCGCTCCACGGCATGTGGGATCTTCCCGGACCGGGGCACGAACCCCTGTCCCCTGCATCGGCAGGCGGACTCTCAACCACTGCGCCGCCAGGGAAGCCCTTGACTTTTAACTCTTGAAGTATAGCAGTTGCCGGGAGCACCACAGTTTCTGGATCTTGGCTGTCTGAATTCAAATCTCGACTTCACCTACTAGCTGCGTGATGTGCGCAAGTCGCTTAACTTCTCTGGGCCTGCTTGCTCATCTGTAAAATGGGAATAAAAGCACCTACCTCACAGAGTATTGTGAGAACTAAATAAAGTCATACCCATTAAATGCCTAGAACAATGGCAGAGACATAGGAGTACTATATGCTTGCCATTATTACTATTTCTGTTCTTATTTTAGCTGCTACGTCACCCCTCTGTGCCCACTTCGTCCCTCCCGGCCCAAGGTGGCCCGCCCAAATTGGCAGGTTTTGATTGGGGAGGTGCTTTGGAGCAGGTGCACAGCCCCACACCCAGGACTTCATCAGCCCTCACTGCACCGGAGCAACCAAGGCCATGCCAAGCCCAGGTGGAGCCAGGATGAGGTCCTGAGAACCTTCAGGGGGCCTGAGGCAGCCCCTCCCTAACAGGCAGCTCCAGCCCATGCCTCTGCTGCTTTGACATCACAGAAGCTGTTGGTCACATCACAAATCGTACTCCTCCATCCTGTGGCTGAGGAGGGGTTGGGAAAACTAAGTGGACTGAGATTAATTTGGTGCTCAATTTCTGCCCACATACCCCTACCAATGCCCCCCAGGGACCAAAATTTTGCAGTCAGCTTGGGCCACACCCCATTGTCCATTTCCCAGGAACCACCACAGCCACGGTAACATCACAGGGGACTTTGGCGATACTTCCTCAGAGGACTGGGCAGACAGGGGTGTTGCTCCTGGGGGCCAGGAGGGTGTGTCTTGGACTGAAACCGAGAACCAAAATGGAGTTGGCCACCAGTGCACCTACCTACCCTCCCCACCTCTCTCTGCCATCCCCATCCCTACTGCGCCACTGGGTCCTGCTTAGCCCCTCCCTAAATGGGGAAGGAGGGGCCACCAGAGGCCAGGTAGGGCGGGACTGTTGTGGCTATAAATTCCAAAAAGGCCACTCAACTCCCAGAGCAGGATCCCTGAAATTCTACTCTGCTGCTGCTGTTGCTACCGTTCTCAGGACCCTCACCATGAAAGGCCTTCTGCTGATCACCTTGTCTTCTCTGCTCTGCTGGGTCTCAGGTGAGCACCTGGGGGCCCCAAGGACCTGGTTCACCTGGTTAGGACTTTTACACCCTGCCCCAGGCACTGCCGTGCACTACCTGCTACTCAAGATCCCAAGCGCCACCAGACCCAACTGGCTAAGCTCTCCTGTGCCCCGCTGTGACACGGTCCTTGCTCTGTTTCTCAAGGACCCGTGTCTCCATCTTCAGACTCTTCCCCACCTCCAAGACGCACTCTTCTAACCTGCCCAGGGTTCCAGGTCCCCTGTTCCCCACTCCTTGGAAACTCTGATATCCAGTTCCCCTGCCAGCCCCACTCTGATACAGAACTCTCCAGGATCCAGCTTACCTGCTTTCTCCTCTCACCACCTGCACTCAGCCAGGGCGTCCTCCCAGAAATCTAGGCAACCAGCCTGGGGCTTCTTTTGTGACCCCTCCTCCCATCTACTCCATCAGGGACTTTGTGCTCAGTCCCTCGAGCAGTGGCCTTTCCTAGATCGCCCCCCTGCTCCTCCCTGAGGTGCATACCTCCAGGAACACAAGCTTTCTGGAGGGCTCCAGTGACCTCTCAGAATCTCTCAGGGAACCAGGGAGATTTCCCGGCCTTCTAGGGAGGGAATGCCAAGGTTGCTCACCCCCAGGGTGAGGTGGGTTTCATTGAGGTGCAGTCACCAGGCTCCTCCACCCACTGACTGAACCCTTCCGTCCCTCAAACCTTGAATCGGATGCAGCAGAAACTTTCAGGGTGCCACCTTCTGCCTTTCTGCACGCATCCTCTCCATTTTGGTAAAGTGCTCGGATGGATTCTGATGATCTGTCTCCCAGATACTTTTCCTTTCTGTCAGAGAGCTACTGGGGTGGGAGGATCCAGTTCAAGTTTGGCTCCTCCTCCCATGCTCTAGGCGGCCCCAGGAGGTGAAGAATACATTGCTAATCTGGCCCCAGGTGGCTTTCTTGCCAGCCTCAAGTTCTAAGCCATTTCTGCAAGTGTTGTAACCACCATGATTTTTACTTTTAATATTTCTTCCTATTTCAAGCCTCCATCTGTGACCTCTTCTGGATTCCTTCATCTCCTCCCTCGCCACCTCCATTCCTTCCCCGTGGTATTCTCACATTTCATCTGTCCCCAGCCCCATTGTTGGTAACTCTGCCTCTCTCAACTCATCTCCAGATGGGGTGGAGTGAAGGAAGATGTTTAGGGTGTGGGCCATTCACAGAGCAACTCCACCCTCACTCACTTGCACTTTTTCTGCATCACTCACCCTCTCTGTCCCTACCAGAACAAACAGGTCAGAATACCACCAGCTGGGCTCATCCCCAGGTGAGTCAGACACTCTGTCACTTCAGCCCGACTTGTGTCTTCCCAGCTGACATTCGCTGTCACTCCTGCTACAAGGTCCCTTTGCTGGGCTGTGTGGACCGGCAGTCCTGCCACCTGGAACCAGGACAGCAATGCCTGACAACAAATGTGTACCTCGGTAACATTCCTTTCTTCACTGGGGAGAGAGGGCCAGTGGGAGACTCTATGGCTGGGGCTGAGGTGGAACAGAGAATTACAGCAATGATAATATTTGGCCAAGGATTATTACGTGCCAGGCACCATCCTACGTCTTTACAAGGATTGTTTCAATTAATGCTCATGACAACCCTATGATGTGTGGGTGCTATTATTATACTGAGAAAACAGGCTCAAAAAGAGACAGTAACAGGTCCAAAGCCTCATGGGCAGCAAGTGATAGGACCAGGATTGGGGTGAGGGGCAGGGTAAGGAAGTGCAGGAGAAAGGTTAGACTGAGGAGAGATACAGAAGGGCAGGGCCAAGGGCAGAGTTGGGAAGGAACGAAGCCTGGGTGGGGTGCACGGGGTGGGGAGGTGGACACAGGCATGCCAGGTGCCCATCTTAACTGTCCCCACTGCCCCCTCTTAACCCCAGGGAAGGTGTGGGTTTTCTCCAACCTACGCTGTGGCACACCAGAAGAGCCCTGTCGGGAGGCCTTCAACCAAACCAACCACAAGCTAGGCCTGACCTATAACACCACCTGCTGCAACAAGGACAACTGCAATAACCCAGCCCCTCGGCCCACCCCAGCCCTGGCCCTTGTCCTCCTTACCTCCTTGGCTGGCCTTGGCCTCTGGCTGTTGCACTGAGACTCACTCCATGGCTACCCCTCCTCCTACCTGCCTTAGCCTGAGCCTCTCTTCTTCTGTCTTCATATCCTCTGCTTCCTTTTGCTCAGAAAAGCATTTCTCCAGACCCTTCACATTTCTTTAATTAGACGGTGGTCCCCCGATCCATCCTTCCATCCCACACCCTCCACTCTGCTTCTCTTGAGTCTCCTTCCATTCCCCTTGACACCACTCCAGATCCTCCATCGTCTCCTAGAAGGGCTCTGCACTTTGCCTCCTGAACTCCCCTGTACCCTGTGTGAGGAGGGATTGGAATCTGGGCCTGAAATGGGGTTTCTGTCCTGTCCCCAGTGAAGGCTCCCAGGAAGGACCTGATGACCTCACTGTATGAGATGATTCTCCAAACCCTGGCTCCCTTACGTACCTCATCCCCTTGCTCACCCCTTTCCATTTTGAGTAATAAATGTCTGTATATGATCAATTGTGTATCAGAAGATCTATTGTCAGAGGCGCCCTCCCAGGAAATAACACTCTCAGCCCTCACACTCACCACTCACCCAAGAACCCTTCAGGGAGTTTCTCTCAGAGGCTGGGCTGGGGCAGATGGAAAAACAGGTTTTGCAGGCTTCCATCCTCTCTTCCAGTGTCTGGGGGGTGGCTTACAGGGCCCAGTGTTTGGAGAAGCAATATTTACCTTAAATTTAGGCCACACCTCTGATGTACTGCCAAGAAGGAGGTGCAGTCTGGCTTGAGGGCTCCTCAGAAAGGGTAGGAGAGTTGCATGGGGATGGGACCTGGGACCCTCTTTCCAGGCCTCAGTCCCTCAAGTTAGATTCAGAGGCCTCACCTGGCCTAGTACGTGGGGCACCAAGCCACCCTCCTATCACAGTGCTTACATTTCCTTTCTCGATTCCAAGTAGTCATATTGGGAGCCAAGTTGCAAATGCGGGGAAGGGGAACAAGCCCAGACAATGAGGCTCATTGATTCCTGGTGGCCCCCACTCAGCCCAGAGCCTGCTCCCCTCAATGATCCTCGTTGCTAAGGAAGATTCTCCCTAGCAACAGGGTGTAGGAGTCACATAGGGCAGATTCTCCATTGTCCTTTGGGGTTTAGTTGGTTAAGGAGTGCACCATTGCAACTAAGTCCACTGATCCTTGATAACCCCTAAACTAGAGCCTGGTTGCCCCCACATTACTCCATCAGCCCTCCCATCAACAAAAGATGGAATTTTCCAGTCAGCTCTAGAGTGGTCGGTAGATTTTAATGGCTCACAGAGGAGTGTTTATCTTCTCACCTCAGATCCCCTTTGTTCCCTTGCTCCCTTGCTCCCTTCTCTTTCCC